ACGTCACCATCCACAATGTAGGTTCAATTAACACTTATAATTTCTTCGATGTATGGCTGAAGTACATAATCTCACCTCGTGACAAGGCGGATGCGTCCATCGTGTTCAAGCGGAGAAGAGTCAGTGGCATTTTGATGCAGGAGGCGTTGATGGCAAGATATGAAAGCGGTAGCAGAAGACAGGAAATCCCGCCACAGAATGAGAGCGTGGGTGCACTCACGAAATACCGAGAACACGATGTGATGACGAATGCTTTCTATGCAGACACGTACGGTGCATTGTGCAAGTGGACAAATGAGAGCATTGGCCGGCGCACGGAGAGGTTGGGCCGCCATAAGGCCTGGTCACTTTTCGATGCCGGGAACACGACCCAAGCGGAGCTCCAGCGAGAACGGGCAAGATGACTTGGGAGAACAAAAAGCACCGTCCACCACTAGAGAGGAACCTGTTTAATCGACCAGGCTCGAGCTAAATCACACTGGTGATGATATTTACAGATGATGAAGATGTCGAGGTGATGATTATACGTAAAGAGAATGAGGAGACATTAGCTTGTCGCGCTAACAGTATACGTGTTTTATACTTCAGGAGTAATTATGGAGCGCATGACTGCGTCATACTACATATACGTGACTATACGTAATGTGACCGACTCCATATTACAGCTTCAAGGCTCTTGCACTAGGCTTTGCGACGCACACGTTTTTTTTCTTACTTTAAATATAAATTTAATCTATTGTAGCGACCTGGCCTCCACCGCGCACCTCACGGTCTTGAAAACATGCGGAGCAGCATTCCAAGCAACCTGCTGCTCTGCTCTCGTTTTTTCCTTCGTCTCTTTCGCTCTTGCCACATCCGGTGCACTGCGTGCACCTGCTGTATTATTGACTCTCTGTTTATCAGAAAAAAGCAGACGTTGCTACTGAAAAGACGTGTCCGTCTCGTACAACCTGGCTCTACAAAGTGGTGACCCATAGTCCGTCACGACAATGCAGAAGCATTGTGGAATCATGCAGAGGAACGAGACGCACCTAAACACGGAAGCTACTGGCATGACCGACCATGACGTCTGTGCGATCTCCCTCCGACTACCAGCTTATTGGGACCACAACTCTTCAAGCTGACTCGCAAGCTGAGTCATTCAAGCTGAGTCGCAATTTGTGCTTTCTGGCGTGCACATGCAACTACGCAAGTACCATCTCGTTGGTTCAGCGCTGTCACCAGCTGCTGCCGAAGAAGTATCTGACCTGCTTTCTGGACCCACCTCCACCACACTGTACAGCACTCTCAAGGCTTCTCTGCTGGAGCGAATGACAGTATCACAGCGTTTCCGCATACAGCAGTTGCTCTCCGTGAAGGAATTAGGCGACCGCTGGCTCAGCCAGCTTCTTCGCCATATGCCTCAACACATGAGTGGCTACACCAACATTACTGATGAGAACTTGTTGCGAGAACTGTCTCTGCAGCACCTTCCTGGCAATGTGCATATGGTACAAGCCACTGCGTCCACGTTGAACCTCAACAGTTTGGCCAGCCTGGCGGACAAGGTCTTAGAGGTGGCCACACCATTTGTGTGCAATGTCATTCAACAACGTGAGTGCCGCTTCACAAACACCATCGGACCCTTCTTCTTCCATCGACGTGCTTTACGATTGCCTAGAACAACCAGTTTGTGCCACGGAGCGTCATTACACTACTCCACGTAACCGAAACTGCAGCCCTTCGAAGCTCCCCACGTTATGCACGCGCACAACGCTCTTGGTCCCCACGCCACCTCGGATATGCTTTTATCGCCATTTTGAACAGGACGCATGTCACTGCCTCCAACTTTGCTCTTGACAAGGATACAGGCAGGCTGGCCATCGACGGCGATGACTAGTCAAGACCAACCCAAAAGACGCCTTTTTCACGTCACGGACAAAATAACAAGCCAGCAGTACGTGGACATGGGTTCGGCTCAAAAGTCCGACCAAACAATACCCCCAATCTCCTACCTGCAAGCTGTCAACGGTAGCAAGATCCTCGTATACAAATCGCGGTCGCTCACTTTGAACCAAGGCTTGTGCCGCGTGTTTCGTTCATTTTTTCTCGTCACTGAGGTACGCCGTGCACTCATTGGTGCCGACTTATTAAACCACTATGGACTGTTGGTCGGTGCTCTTATTAGTTTGGCGCTCCCCAGAATAATACCACCTCCTCTTCTGGGGATGTAGATCACGGCTCGGGCGCGCACCACGAGCCCTTCACGCACCTATCACGTGCGCGGTTGTGGCTGGGGCGCATACGATCGGGTACACTTCCCTGTCTTGGTGCTGAGCAATTGGAAATTGTGTAAACATTTATTTCGTTAAATTACGTTTTTTTTTCAAGGTGCACCACCACCGATATGTCTCTTGAAGTATCGAACTGTGTGGTCTATGTGAAAAAGTCGAGTCAAAGCAATACGTGACACGCATGTACACTCTGATTTTCCACGTATATTTCAATGTCTCAAACACTCAGACCCTAATGCTCAGCCTTAAACTTATCTGCACCTAAGATATAGAACCATATGTGTATGGGCCTCGTGAATCACGTGAACCGAGCTGTTTCTTCATCTGTGCACCTTCTTATGCTTAACTTTCGAGTAAGCTTTTCGGAACGCACAACAACGTGTAACTTTCGTAGCAATCAATTTTGTCGTGACTATTCCTTATGTATGGTGTGTCCTTTCTTTAGCAAAATAAAAAAATATGTCACGCGTCGTTTTATGTTACTACCGAGGGTTCTATAATGAAACTACGAGTGACCGACAGAAAGTGTGGCTGTTTATTACACTGATGAATGTAACTGCAGTGGAACAAACTTTCGTTTAAATACCAAGGTGGCTGCGACGCATTACACTTACAGGCCCAAGTTAACGCCGCTTTTTTATATATATGAAGCACACGGGTTATTCTCTGACTTTTCTGCTGCTTTCTGACCACCCTACGGCCAGCTATAAAAGCGCTTAGCGCTTGATTTTATACACTAGCTAAGTGCAAAGTGCTTCCAGCTGGACATTCAGCCGCGTGACTCAAAGGCATTTTTTTTTACTTGGCTTGAATATTATATCAAAGAGCACAACATTTTTGTATTTACTTCACAAGTATCTGGTCGTGAGAACTTTATATTGTGGTCACCTAATGAGAGTGACAATATTTTTATATTTGAATTGCACATAGTGCTTTTTACTAAATATAGGTGTTCATAAGGTTTGGCATAGCATAATTTGGCTAGTGCACCACGATTTCATAAAGACGTGCGCGTATATTTGCAGTATATCTCACATACTAAAAATAATAGTGAAATATTCACAATTATTTAGCCTAGCTGTTTTTGTGCACAAAAAATTAAGTCAGCATGTCTCTGAGTTTTGATATTTCTCCGCACCAGATCACACACTCATATAACTCGAGTGTTCTCAATTAAAAAAAAAAGAAGCAGTCATGTCTGGCAGGCCACTCTTGTATCGCAAAAGCGCAGAATTATGCACATCAAATAATAAATCGCCAAGCGACAAGCACTTCATATAGCATTGCTTAGGTATTTCTACATCCAGTATCTCTCATTACCGCCATAAGAGAAACGCGTGAACTATTGTGCATCTGCATTTTTATATGTGCTCTTAAAATACACATCGCAGTTTGAAAGATGCACCTAGCAAGTGCTAGCATGGTTGCACAACACAGCAAACAATCTTTGGTAGACAGCTATGGTGCCGAACATACTTACAACATCATATATTTTCATATTATACCACGTTTTGCTTGTTATCAATGCTTGTTATAAATCAGGGACACTTCTAGGCACAGCTTCTGCGTACCTGAACTTCCTGCTAACGTCCTTTCAGAAATTGAACTTATCAGTTGCCCTGCTCTTACGCAAACTAATTCTTTACTAGACAAGCTGTGATCATGTGAAACATGGCACTGTAATGTTGGGAGCAGCTCCCAGTGAGTTATCAGAAACTAGAAATGATGGCTTATAAGTTTCATAATTTCCTTTCATATCTTTCACATATTAAAATAAGGAAGTAGCTTTATTTGTGTGTGCTTTTCAATGGCATTTAGTACAAATGCTTTAGCAAAATGTAAATGTAAACGAAGACGGTAGAAAACAGATATATATCGCTTTTTCTCACACTAGTTGCCTTAGTACATGTAATTTTATGAAATATGTACACGCAGCACGGAAAGTTCCTTCTCACGAAGCGCAATTTATGACATGACAGTGGCGTAAAGGAATGCATTCTATAATGGAAAACCAATGCAGCATTCAATAATCACTTGCTCGCACGTGATATAACACACTCAGTGTGGAACCCGACTGGTTTTCGGCATACCCACCTATGCCGCTTAGTTTCATCACTTCTAACTTCATGCGGAGTATCGCGACCCGAAACAACCGTCCTCTGCCACTTGTGGCTTGGAGTTTCATTCACAAACAGTTTTGCTTAGCGGATTGTGACGTTGGATCACTGTGGCAGTGAGGAAACCATTGCCTACGTCCTTTGTGACTGCCCTCAATACAGCTCCCAAATACAACAGCTTCGGGCAACGTAAGTACGGCTAGCGAACTGGTCGCTTTCGGAGCAGTCAATTTGAAGTGCGGTAACGTCCAACATTCCAGCCAGAAAGCAACAAAGGCGCTGCTGAAGTTTGTGTAGTCAAGCAGTCTCACGAAGCGACTGTCACACTCCCATGCTAGCGTGTGCGCGCGTTTACTATTATCGTTTTATTAACCATCTTTTATCCCTCATTTTTCCCACCTTAAATTTTCATGCCCGTTTCCCTTTCTGCAGTGCCTGGTAGGAAACCGGAAGTTTTATTCTGGATAACCTTGCTGCCTTTCAATAAACCTTATTCTCTCTCTCTGTCTCTTCATGAAAACATCGCACAAACCACACGAACACAGAATGGAATTGTGCTTCAGGAAATACAAACACCGTTCTTCCATATGTGGCTTTATTCCTTCAACAGTGCTTCCCATTTCAAGGAACCTTGTACCTGATCTACAGAAACTTTGAAGAGGACAAGTATGTTGGGGGCAAAGCGGCATGCGTTCGTGGCAGCCAATCCGGCGACGCTGTAGACGGCGCCATTCCAATGTTGATTGAGTTCGGTGAAGGCGAAAAGCTGTAAGTAAGGCATGTTCTCTTTGCATGCGGCTTGTGTCGTTCACCACTGGAAAGTCGAACATCTTTACCACAGTTCTCTAGTATTTACAATTGAAGCTATCTAAAAAACGATTGGGAAGGGGGATCGTACTTCATTGTTAAGTGTAGTGACTCAAAGACGACGGAGAACTGCTTTAGCAGAGGGACGGGGGAAAATAAAGAAGAACAAAATATTCTGTCTCTAACAGTGTTGGAACGTAATAGTGGCGCAGCCTTCAACGGGATTAGCAACGCAAGTATGTCGATAACTTCGGCTTTATCCCGAAGTTCATCTGGCAAGTCATATTTTTCGACGTGCGAAGGGGATGAAGACACGTATGAGTTGCCTGAAGGCAGCACGACTTCCGAACAGCGTGAATTAGTCGCTAAGAAAGCCGGAAAGACACTGCGCGAGCTCGACCACCAACTATCAGTGAAGCTGAAACTGAAGTGCTCCAAATTTCAAGAATACATCATGCGGCCGCTTTTGAAAAGGTGGTCAAAGACTTTGCCAAGCAAACAAGATTGTTCCATTGATTCACGCCAAATGGAAATCTTCTACCGCCAGCAGCAGTGCGTAGAACGAGAGCAGCAATCCATGGAAAGACTTTTTTCCGTCGTCAAGACACAGCAAAGACTCAACAAGGAGGCAGCGATGCCTGCTTCATTCGATGGTGAAAGCAGAACACCGAACGCCTAGATCAAGTTCTACGAAAACGCGTGTGTGGACAACTTGTGGCAAGAATCCAGTGAGCGCATCAGGAACAGGCGTCTCCATTTCTGACCGGACTGGCTCGAAAGTGGTACGAGCTTCATTTCGCTGTGCACAAGACTGACACATAGGATGAGTCTAAAAGGAGTTTCCTGGCGGCTTTCGACAAAAACCCCGTTAAAAGGTGGGACCGAGCAATTTTTTACAAATTTTGATCAGGAAAGCCTCTACAATATTTTTAATAGAAAAGGTGGCTTCTATAAATGACAAGCCCGGAACTTCCGGAGTCCGCGATGATGACGCTCATTATTTGCGGCCTTCCTAAGGAACTCCTGAGACAAGTTCAATCGCCCAAAACTATTGAGGAGCTTCTAAGTTCTTTCAAAAACGTCTCAGTTGATCTAAATTCCCAAAATCCACGTCGGTCAGATTACCATCAAGAGAAGGCACCATGGAGGTCACGAGATATTGACAGTTGGCATGGCTGAAACTGAGTGGTCAATGTAATCTTCGAGGCCAGTAAAGACCAAGAGCATATCAATTCTTCGCACCCAGAAGAGGCTGAAACAAAAAAAAAGAATAAAAGAGGGTGCGCATCTCACCTGACAACAGACCTGAACAGTTTTTTTTATCGATTCCTAATCTCTTATATATCAAAATAAAAATAGGTGCCGAAGATGTCGATGCACTAGTGGATAGTGGGGCATCGGCGTCTGGCATAAATGAGGCACTTGTAAAGAGGAAAATTATTATTCGAGGGAGGTCAGTACAAGTACACAGCTTCGATGGGACAAGACAAATTTATGATGAATGGGTGAAGAGAACGCCTCTTTTCAAGGCCGAAACGCAGACATTGATGTTCTCGTAGTGAAAGGGTGTGACTACAAATTTCACTTTCTCGTCCTGATATGAAGACCCTAAAGCTAAACCTTTATTGGAATGATGAAGTGGCTGTGGCAAAAGAGACGTTCGCTTCCTTGAGCATTGCGGATCGCCTTACTACATGTGAAGATGAAGTCCGCCGTGAATCCCCTTAACTTGTCTGCCTAAGCAACTACCCACCGGTAAAAACAAAATTTTTGGTTACTTTCAAGCTGATAGACATTACACCAGTCAGGAGGAAGCCTTACAACATGTCACGCGAGAAGAAAGTTTGGTTGGAAAGCGAGATCCAAAATATGTTAGATGCTGGCATAATACGGCCATCGGTGTCCAAGTTCGCCTCGCCAATCATGCTGGCTCCCAAAGACTATGTACAGACTACCGATTCTTGAATTACCAAGCAGATCTATTTCCTTTTCCAATGCCAAAAATTCATGAAATAATTGAAGAAACGGGAAGCTGAAAAGTCTTCTTTCGAATAGATATTAGCAAAGGATTTTAGAAGGTACCCCTCGAAGAGGAATATAAAACGTACACAGCCTTTATCACTCCCTTTGAAGTATATGAATACAATTGGTTACCTCTCGGGTGGAAGAACAGTGCTGCCTGGTTTTGAAAGATGATGAGTGACATCTTGAAACCTTTCCTTTGATCATTTTGTAACGTCTATGTTGACGATATTTTTGTCTATTAAGATGAGACTTCTCACGATCAACATTTGACGGCTGTATTGATCACACTGAGCAAAGCTCAACTGAAAGTTAATTTTAAAAAGAGCGAGTGCTTCAAGGCAAATATACATTTCTTGGACGCATCCTGAATGGATTGACTAAGAGTACTAAAGAAGAGTCTGTGGAGTTTGTGCGACAGATGAAGAAGCCAGATATCGTACACGCCCTCAAATTTTTTTTTGGGCTTGCCGGCCACTACAGAAAGTTCATAATTTTTGCAGCCCGAGCAAAACCAGTAGCCATTTTCTTCACAAGAATACAGATTTTATTTGGACTGATAAATGTGAAAAGGCTTACGATGACTTAGTATCAGCCATACCATCAGACCCGATCCTAACGTTGCCCGATTTCACTTTTCGTTTTGAACTGACAACATATGCTTCCAACTGTGGTACATGTGCTGTTCCGTGTCAGTGAGAACATGACAAAGCAGGCCAAGCTATTGGCTACTACTCATATACGTTTACGAAGGCAGAGCATAACTATAGCACAACAGAGAAGGAGGCATTGGCTGGTGTTCTTGCAATGAGGCATTTTTGATCTTACATCGAAGAAAGAAAATTTTAACAATTTAGTGATCATCACACACTTACTCATTTACTGATCGCTTCTCAACCAAAAGGGAGAATCGCCCACTGGACCAGTGAAATTCAGCAATCTAATTTTGAAGTCACACACAGAAGCGGACAAGAATTATCAAATGCAGATGCACTTTCTCGGCTTCCAGAAATTAGTGGCTATGTGAAAGAGGAAAGTGTCAACAGACTCAAACTCTGGGAAGGTATATAGCAATTGATGCCCTTAGGAGCAAAATTTCAGGTTCCAGCTACGCTAGTACGAAAGGTTCTTGAGCTGTACCATTATAGACCGAGTTCAGGTGGACATGACAGGTTTTGCCAAACCTATAACAAATTGAAAAACAATTTACATGGCCATCAATGAAAAAAATGTCGCCGATTACATCACCTTCTGCCATGACTGTCAACACAACAAGGTAAAATACAAGCAGAAAACGGACACTATGGTTTTGTCTGCATTGCGTCGGACAATGCGTCGGCGTTCAGGAGCCAGGAACTTGCAAAGTGGGCAGAAGACAAGCACATCACCCTGAAGTTTACGGCCCCATACCATCCTTCAGCTAACGGGCTCCCAGAACGGGTGATACGAGACATAAAGCAATGCATAAGCATGTACCCGGGATTCCCAGGAGGGTGGAAACGTTGCTTACAAGCGGCAGTGTCACATCACAATAGAAACCGCACAACTGCTTTGGGATGCAGTCCTCAGTATGCCGCCTTTGGTGAAGCGGCGTATTTGCCTTCAGACGATACACTGGGAATCAAGGCAATACTACACCTTGAAGAAATTAAGAAGACTGCAGAGAGCCAAAGAAAACACAAGGAGTCACTTAAACGAGGATTTGACAAACAAGATCCCTCATGTTACTCTGGGTGATGTAGTTTTGGTACGGAAAGGCTATGACAGTCATCGTGCAAAACTGTTGCGACCACTTAAGGTGGCCAAAACGGCTAAAAAAGATGAAATACTAAAGATCATCGGCTACATAACCAAAGATGCTGCCATAAAAACAGCTGCCATCAGCAATGTGATTCCCAATATCCAGAGGTGTGACAAAAGAAACGCAGTTGAAGTGCAGTGACCCAAAGACGACAAAGAACAGCTTTAGCGGAGAGACGGGGAAAGAGAAAGAAGAATAATGAAATATCCCGGCTCTGTCAGCGTTGGAACGTTGTAACAAAGGAATACGTTGCCTATTGTATTCGTTGCATGAGTGTTTAGCACACAATGATGCGGTCGTGATCTACCAATACGAACATGTCTTTCTGCCTGTGTCCTAAGTACTGCTCTGACACATGCCAGCAGATTTTAAAACAGAATGCTTTTGTATCAAACAAAGCAACTTTTGTGGTGGCGAAGCAACATGCTTTCGTGCAAGCCAATCCGAGGACACTGATTATGGCGTCATTCCAATCTTGATCGAAATTTGGTGAAGGCAGCGAGTGCTTGTGCTAGGCAGCTTTTTAACCTTAGGCACAGCGCCTGCTGCTGTGTACGTCATTCTGTCCTTTTTCTATAAAGTTCAATGCTGCTATATTCGACGACAGCCTATTTTGACTTTGGAGTGAAAGCTACGAATGCGGGGCTTCCACGCAATCTTGTTGCTCCGCAGTTATAGTACAGCCTGGTACGGCAGCTTGCCACCGATTTCAGTTTTACTCGTTCTCAATGTTAACGCGCTTAAAAAAACATACGCATAAAATTTTGAACTAGAGAAACATTCCGATTTCAAGGTACATTTTTGTGTCCTCTATAATTAAGTATGTTTTTCTTAGAGATCTGGACAGCATGTTTGCGGCTCTACACTGACGTAACAAGTGCGCCATTTCCTTAGAAAATGGGTGTGCTGAAAAGTTGGTGCTGTCTAAGAAAAGGAAATAAAAGGAAGGAATTCATGAGAAAGGAACAATAACTGGTTTTAGCTACGACTTTCCGCAACTGTTTGAGTCACATAATGAATAAAGCTCTATTTATTGCAGAAACCATGATAACAAAATTATCAGTAAAGTTGAACACTACTTTTTTTGGCCCGGCGGCAGGCGTGCGCTTTGATTCTGTGGCTTCCACAAAGCTGTCAA